CATCATTTCAGATAATACAGAACTTGAAGTTCAGATCAGTTAATTATAGCTAACTTATTTCACAAGATATTATCAGCTGCAGTCACATGATCTCTTATCAAGAATATCTTCAATCTCTCACTTAAGCTCATTATCTTTATTTATGATCTCTGGCAGTTGTCAGTCAGAAGTCAGTTAAGAAGAGAACAGATCAGTGACAGTATGACAGAGTAAGCTTATATAAAAGATATTATAAATCTCTGATAATATGTCAAGACAGTAGTTATAACTATCTAGAACTTCTATCACTTTATATCTGATATAATGATAATCTAGTATACAAGATGAATATGTAATTCATATATTCTTGAGATTCAATTATATAAGATCTTCTATCTTTTACTGCTCTGTGAGATCTCATCAGATATTAATTTAATCTTCTTAATCTTGTTTCATAATTATTATGAAGGTCTCTGCTCAGTCACAGATATCTCAGAGCTTTATTACTATATTATCAGTTATCTGAATCAGACTGCAGAGATTCAGTATAAACTGTATAATCTCTAGAAGATTCAACACTTTCATGTAATATTTATATATAAGAAAGAACAGACTTATATCTGTTGAAATAATTTCTTAACTGTTGATAGTAATCTCTACATGTAGAAGAAGATTATATCAATTATCTTATAAGTAATTACAGAACTTATAAAGATAATTCTTCACAGTCTGAATTATCTATTCTGATATATTATCAGTCTCAGATAGACTGGCTGTCAGAATCATGAATTTCATGTTTGATCTCATTTGATCTGATCTCATACATTTCTTGACGTGAATCCCGCTGAGACTGGCTATCAAAAAAGCATGCAAAGTGACTATATATCAGATTTTAAAATGAGATCATGACTTGAAAAAAATGAGAAAGTGGTTTCATTTGATCTCATTTAGTTCCATTCTTGGCATAAAGTTACTATTTTTAGATATTTTAAGGTTTTTTTTAGACTATTTTTAATTTTTTAAAAAGTAACACTTTTTAATAATGCTTAAATGAGATTTAAAGTCATTTAAAGCAATAAAAATAATTTAAATTGAGAAGTGGAAATCATGATCTCATTTGAAAAATGTGATAAGAGTAGACAGTAAGTCTCACTGGGACAGTATGAGACTACTATCTAATGTTAAAACCGTGTAATGAGATCAGTTGAATTGGTAATGAAACTATCAAAAAATCTGGTCCTGGTCTCAGACACGGTCACACGGTCAGTCTAGTCTCAGAGTGATAGACAGTTGATAAATGATATATAATCTTGAGAACTTGACAGATTCTTGTTTAGAGAGTGCTTACAAATTGACAGCTCTGATCTAATACTATAGATCTCAGTAATTTATACATGTGATAGAACAGACTTTATAGAAAAGCTTCAGTAACTTGTTCAGTATTTATCTTATTACAAGATTTCAATATTATATCTTTGCTTAATTAATTCACAATGATCAGAATGTTTCTATAATTCTTACTTTTAGAGAGATTAATAGCAAAGTCAATTATCATATCTCATCAGATTCTATCAGAGATATCAAGCAGTTGTAACAGATCTTTTCTACAGTTCTTTTATAAGATAATGAAAGAACAATAGTTGCAGTTTCAGATAAAATATTTGATACTGTTTAATATTTCAGATCAGTAGAATTCTCAAGAGATTATTCAGTACAGTTGTTTATAATCTGAATGACTGATTATATATAAATTATGCATCTCTTGCATTAGTCAGATGTGTAAGAGTTCAGAGTGAGAGACTTAGCATTATTTACAGAATCATAGAGTGTTGTTATCATTACTTGAATATTCTAAGATATTAGTTCTTATATATAGTTCTGGAAAAATTGAGATGCTTCTTGATATACTACTTCAGTAAGAGTCTGAAGAAGTTCACCAGTTTGAGCTGCTGTATATTATAGTTCATTCAGTGTAGAAGAAGTGAGAATATCAGTATTAGTATCAGTTCAGAGAGAGAGTGTTCTAATCAGAGAAACATGTATAGTGTCATGAGTTATTCTATCTTGATTCATTGATATCTTTAGATCTAAGAGCTGATGCTCTTGATTTATTCAACAGATGTCTGCTACATCAGAAGACATATCTTACTCTTATTATAAGAGTATATCTATCATCAAGTTCTGACTGTCAGATTGATAGTGTATTATAAAATACAAGCAGCTTAAGAACTCTGATCATTATATCTATTATTCAGTAAGTTTACATATTATTATAAAGTACTTAAGATTCTTATAATCTGTGATTATCTCAAATTCAGAGATGCTTCAGAGTTCAAAGTCTCATTCTTCTAGATAGTATATAATTGTAAGAAGTTTCTTGTTATAGATCTCATAATTGTATTCAGCAGAACTCAGTTTCTTAGACATGAAGATGCATGATTATAAGACATCTTTATTATTATATTGCAGTATAGCTTCTTCTATAATATAATTAAATAAATCAGGTTTCACAACTATCTTGTGATCAGAATTGAATGTTATTAGCAGAGAGATATTAATGAACATCTTCTTCATCTATATAAATGCAGCTTCAGCATTCACTGATCATTGAAATACTGAGTTCTTCTTAGAGAGTTCTGTAAGTAATCTCACAATATCTGAGAAGTTTTGTATAAATCATTCATAGAAGTTAGTAAATCTGATAAAGCTTTATATATCTTTTTCACAGTGCACAGAGGCTCTTATTCAAGAATAGCAGAGATCTTCTCAGAATTCATTTAAATTCTCTTATCCGCTTCTATGATAAAGTCTAGATATTTTATACTTTTAATTTTAAAATTATACTTATCTATATCTATCAGCAGTTCTACTTCTTATAGTTATTGTAATATCTTTCACATGTATTCTTGATATTCTTTTCTGAATTCATTGATGAAGATGAGAATGTTATCAAGATATGCAGATGCGAATTTATTAAGAAAGTCTCAGAGTGCTCAGTTGATATACTTCTGAAATATACTGAGAGCATTAGCCAGTTCAAAGAGTGTGACTACTTATTCAAAGAGATTATATCATGTTCAGAATACTGTAAGTCACTTATCTTCTTTAGTAATGCAGATCTTATGAAACACAGTAATGATATTGTAAGAATAAGTACTCGCAGGCAATTATTCAAGTGTTTGTAGCTTAGTGTGATATGTACTATTAACTACTAGAAGTATTTGTGATAGAAAGATAAAATGTAGAGATTAAATGTATAATAGCATTCAAGCTGAGTTGTGAATAGTATTCATGAACTTCAGTCTATATAATTGTGTGTAGTCAAGAGCTGCTAACTCTATTAATTACATAAGAGATAGAAATAGAGGTAAAAAATCTGTGAGAAGTGAGATTTCTTACAAAATCTCTTACATCTAAGCTGAAATTTTCTGATTTTATATATCTGAAATTAATAAATATGTAATAGTTAACTTTATAGATATTAGAAAAACTCTGAGAACTAAAAGTTTTCAGATAGATATTATAGTCTCTGACTCTATATATCTATAATTAAAGAATAATAATAATAATAATTAAAACAGTAAGTTAGAGTCAGTGAAATAATTCTCGAATTTATTTAGAGATTAATAATTATATAGACTTTTAAACACTCAGTGTCTAATCAGTTTAAAATCTTAACTTTTAAATATCAGATAATTAATAACAGTATCTCTCAGATTATAACTAATCTATAAATCTCAATTTATAAGTTTATTAATATGATTAATAAGAGTGATATAACTAGAAATAAAGATTATAAAAGAAACTTAATTCAGTTAATTTAGATGAATTTAGATAGATATATTTATAATTTTCAATTGAGAATAATACTGATAAATGAGACAGTTTTTAGAATTAGTGATTATATAGATTAAATTCAGTGATATCACTAATATAATAATTGATTTTTTCAGTTTATAACTTATTTACAGTGATTTCATCATTCATTCATTATTATACTATGATTTACAGCTCAGTGACCGTGTCACTGATTGAAATGATGAATAGACTGACTGTGTGACTGTGTCTGAGACCAGGACCAGATTTTTTGATAGTCTCATTATCAATTCGACTGATCCCATTACACAGTTTTAACATTAGATAGTAGTCTCATACTGTCTCAGTGAGACTTAGTGTCTACTCTTGTCACATTTTTCAAATGAGACCATGATTTCCACTTCTCAATTTAAATTATTTTTATGACTTTAAATGACTTTAAATCTCATTTGAGTGTTACCAAAAAGTGTTACTTTTTAAAAAATTAAAAATAGTCTAAAAAAAACCTTAAAATGTCTAAAAATAGTAACTTTATGTCAAGAATGAGACTAAATGAGATCAAATGGAACCACTTTCTCATTTTTTTCAAGTCATGGTTTCATTTTAAGATCTGATATATAGTCACTTTACATGTTTTTTTGATAGCCAGTCCCAGCAGGATTCACGTCAAGAAATGTATGGGACCAGACCAAATGGGACCAAATGTGAAATTCATGGTCCCGGCGGCCAGTCTAATGGTGGAACAACCATAATCCGGTCGTGTAATAACCCTACGTTCTTCCCGTATGAATGCCTTGAAGTTGGTCATGTGATTTTACTCCCTTGAACTCACTAAACAGCGTCTACGGCCGGCAATAGACATATATACAAAGCTGATATGAGTGTAAGGATCTAGTTAGTAAATCAGTATACCCTTTAATCTCGTCTACCTACCATGCGTCTCAAAAGTTCAAAAATTGGCAAAGTGGCGGAAAGGATAACACACGGGGAGATCCCTGGAAGAAATACGTCTGTCTAGCACCTAAACATATCTATGCGCATGTTCTTAATGTAGAATCGAATAAAAAAAAATATTAGATGGTCCTAGAAGTTTCATAGGGGGTCGCCTTGCCATTCCTATTTCATTAGTTATCCGTTTCGCCTGAACAACGACCAAAGCCACGCCCTTCATCTACACACAAATGAACTTCTATAGGGTGGAAGCCTCAGAGCCTACTCTTCACAACCTGCCCGCACTCCCAAGACTCGCCCGCTTCCAGCGTCTGCCATTTCACAACAGACCCCGCCTCAACACATATCATATTCTTATACCCATCATCCGGAGCGAAATCAGCCATTCCCTTCGCCTTCTCGATCCACGGGTTCCAGACTACGATGTCATCAAGAGATTCGCGTGAGATGGAGAAGAGTGAGCTGTCGTTATCATCTCCGTTTGCGATGACGATGGGAACCTTGGGATCAAGGGATTGATAAACCCGGTCTGTTTCTTGGGTGATTGCGAGGGCCGGCGAAGATTCGACGTGCGTTGATGCGTTGAGGACTTTGTCGACGTATGTTTTTGATTGGAGGTTTAGAATGCGGATTTTTGCGATGTCCTGTTGTACAATTTTAGCTGAAAAGTTCCGCAGGATGCACGTTAAGGAGGAATAATATTTTTCGTAGATAGGTGTGATAGAGCCGGTACGACATTTCTGTAAAATAAAAAAAAAAAAAACAAAATGACACAACATACCTCAACCTTAAAGTACGAATGGAGCAAAACCTGGAAATCAAACGGCTTTTCTCCCTTATTCCGGACCTGCAGCGTCGTACCCAGGCTGTCCTTGCTCAACGTAACACTGTACACGAGGCCAAATTCATACGGCCAATCGCTCTTGAATTTATCGCTCAACATGCTTGTCGACAAGCCAAAGTCAAGCTTAACACTGCTATCACCATCCTGCCCCTCTGATTCAGAAGTCGATTTCCCTAGGAATTCCCAATATGCGTTGCGAGCAAAGCCGTGCTGGGGAAGCGCGGAGGTTGCATGGTCTTTAGGTGGGGGACCAAAAACCTGTCACGAAGAAAAAAGAACAAAGTCAGCAATTTGGTCGGTCCGATTTGGGGCGCTGGTGTCAGCAATGCGCGCCAGTCAAGTGGAATGCATATATTTAAACTTAGCGGAGAAGGAATGGAATGAAAAATAAAAAGAAAATAATATCTGGTACGAACAGGAAAAACCAATGGGATACCCCCACGGATAGGTTTGGAGCCATCCAAAACAGCCTTCTGGCTTAGGAATAGCTGTTCCTCGCCCTCGGCAAGTTTCCACGCAACGACAGTCGCGCCAAGTAGGTTGACGGTGACGGATTCACCGGATGCTAACGACGCTTGGACCTTGTCTTCTTCTACGGAGATGGTGATGGTGGGCTGTGGGAGAGGAGAGGAGACGGGAATGGCTGGGGGCTTCTTTGCGCGCTCCATGGTGGTGGGTGTTTTTCGCTAATGGTTGGTTTGTTAGTTCTTATTACTCTATGGCGGGGAAAAGGAGGTATCAGCCTGCCTAGGTATGGAATGGGATCAGTTTATTGGGAAATAGATGGTGGATATTGTAAGATAGAAGGAGAATAATAGTATAAGCAGCGGAGGTTTTAAATATTGTATGTATTTGGTCAAAATATATATATATCTATTGGATTGTAGCGGGGTATCAGTGCCGTGGAATGAAACGCCAGGAAGAGCCGCCCGTGGAGGAAGCCAACAGTGACGAAATGGACCGAATAATCAGCATGAACATTATGGATGAACTGCGCGCGGCATTCTAGACTCCGGCTGCATCCAATCTGAAACACACCTAACAAAGCAGACTATGCCCGTCTGGTGCAACAATAAGATCTGGGATCCTGGTTTATCGGCTTCTTATTTGCGCGTGCAGTTCAACTTCGTCAATAATGCAGCTTCGTATGCGTAGAATACAATACAGAGCCAAAAATATCCCTATGACGCCCCCATCCTAATTCCGAACAGAAAGCGAAAATTGAAGGCAAGGAACAATGGGAAGAAAACTGCCCGCATTATTTATAAAAGGAGATAGTAACGGAAGAAATACAAAGCAACCCACTAAATGAGTTAGCAAGGGAAGGGGCAAGAAACAATGCACAACCATACAGCACGGCCGTCTCTCTCACAAACTTCCACCATGTCGTCTTGCAGCATCGTGTGCTTCCACTTTGATATCAAACATCACATCCTCAATCTCACGGAGTACAGGTCTACCAAATGTTACCGTCCTGAGCGATCCCAACACTGAACGTAGAGACGCAAGTATACCAACCCCTGAACTTTCCACCCTGTCTGATCGGGTTTCTAGTTCCGCTGAACTGGCAAGACCCGCTTCTCTGGAAGTGGAATGCTCGGGCTGATCGCTCATGGCTATATCGGCTGCTGTATCTTCTGCTCTTTTCGAATCAGGCGAAATTTGCGGTGTCGTTAGTCGGTCGGTTTGTTCTATGGAGTCTTCTGGTAATGCTAGTTGACAGCTCAAGCGAACGGATCTTCGTTTCTTGGACTTGCGTGGACTTGGAGATTGGCCAATATCGGACGAGGAATTGAAAGCCTCCGCAGTATAAAGCATTGAATTCGCCTTTCTCCGTGATGATCGACTCGATCGTTTCAACTGTGAAACTTCACTTGTAGAAGTGGTATTTTCCTGCTGAGAAGGGATATTCTCCGAATCAATCGCCCTATCATCTACAGCATCGCTTCGCTTATTTGGAGAGACTCGTTTAATGCGATCACACAGGCTCGAAGGCATGTCCTCCCTTTTTCGTTTCATCGATCGCGTCACAAATGAAGCGTTTGGTTCTTCCGTTGTTCTACTTGAGACTTCCATATCCATTGACAACTCAAGGTCTTGTTCAAGCTGAGATGCTATCTGCTTTTCAAGATCATCGCTGAAAGAGTCTGGAATAATATCAATCCTATCGGCTCCAATCATTGGGATGCGATTGTTTCGTTTCGAGGTAGGAGATCTCTCATCACCACCTGCCTCTAATGGCACTGGACTGGCATTTTCGGTTTGGGGGTATGATGGATAATGTGATTTTGACTTGGTTTCTATAGGCTCTGAGTTATTGGCTCTGTTGGATCTTGTCACCCTCCGTTCAGACTTTTTCCTGGAGCTTAAAAGACTTCGGCGACGACTGGTGTTACCACTGGTTGGTGTCGGCGAGCTCCTTGGAGGGGAAGACAGATCACCATTCATAATAACATCCTGATCTTTGATATCGCAAATTCGTCTGGTCTCGGACGCTTCTACGTTCCGGATTTCAGGGGTCTGTATTTGAGGAGGGGATGAGGGTGGGTCCTCTGAATGTAGACTAGCGATGCCCAACTCAGATGGTAAGGGCGATCCGATCATTTGATCTGACTGCACAACTGAGGTCTTGGCAGTTGGAGTTGGTGAAGAACCAAGGAACTCCTCCTTGCTGTCCGCGGTGGCAAGTTGAGGTATGAGACTCGGCGGAGTACTCTTTTCGATCTCAAGATCTCCAAGCTTCGTCGCGCGCAGTGGGTGGCTTGTCTCCCGGCCAAGCTGCGAATCGGAGGAACGAATACCTGGATATAACTCCGCGGTCTCGCCTCGCTGCCTATCCCTTACCTCCCTTTGACGGTCAGTGAGCACCTGCGTATCACTAGCAGGATTGATTCTTGGAGAGGAATCGCCAGGGACAAATTGAATGTGTGAATCATCATGTGGAAGCCGAGGCTTGGGTGTTGTGATCTTGGTCGTTGATGGAGTCCTCCTGTTCCGACGGTAGCCTTTATTTGGCCTGGGGGGCGGGGTGCGTTGTGCAGCATTCGGAGAAAAAGCCATGCAAATCTTGTTTGTGTGTTCAAGGGGATTAATGGGAATTTCGGACCGAGCTAGTTCTTCTTGAGAGCTAAGGAATTCGGGAGAAGGAACATCAATCTAGAATGAGGTCAAAATCTATTCACTTCAATATAAAACAATGTACATGTACATGTACATACCGTGGAGTCTCCCGCTGGCGGAAAGTTTGGCAGCACGAGATGCACGAATGGCTTCAGCCTTCTCAGAGCTCTTTCCACATTTTCAGGATATACCGGCGTCTCTTTGGAACCAAACGAATTATTCCATAATTTGATGAAGTGGTTCAGAGTAAATTTATGTCGTGATTCCAACCCAGATGTGATCAGCGTTGATAACTTCTGTAATAGACTATCTCCCGACTCGGCTGATTTTTGAAACAACTTAGCGGTCGATAACGTCAATTGTCGCGCCTATTGTCATTAGCATACTCTTGAGACAGAGGAATAAATTCTCAAAACGTACTGAGATACTAATGGTACTGTCCACATCTGGTCTGCTAGTGAGCAAACCATCACGGTCAATTAGCCATATGCCTAAAGACTCCTGTAACCCGCTGAGTAAAGCTGGACCGAACGACGATGGACATCGATCAATAAGCTTAGTCGTGGAGTCTAGGAATCTAACAATGCGACGATGATCAATGTCCGCTAACTTAACGTATATTGCTTTCAGCACCCTGTTGGCTAGTTCAATTAGGTTGTTGAAAAGATGAGGTTGGCTTTGACGACGCGCGAATGGTGATTTGTTAAGTGACGGATGCAGCGAGGATGGAGGATGCTCCTGGAGTTTGATTAAGTCTAGTAGAGCTGCACAATGGCCAGCGATTGCTGATAGTGGTTGGGAGCTGATGGCTTCTGCTAGCGTCTCAAGGGTAGTAGCTAAAGTAGCTTCACCCTTCTCGGCTCGAACAATAGAACCGAGTGAATCAAGGAGCAAGGACCACTCTAAAAATACTGGCTCAAAAGCAGACCCCGCAACCAGGATAGCTATTACGTTGTCGTAGTCATTAGACGCTGAATCGTCATGTTTTTTAACCTCAGTTTCCAGTGGGAAGGTCGCAAGGCATTCATTAGCCAGCTTGGCTATGTTGTACCATACATAGTGGCAGTTGGACAAACATTCCAGATTGGAAGAAACATTTCCCGATTGTTCTAAGAATATGTCTGCAAATTGACGAAGAGTTTGCAGCTTGGCATTCCTTGATGATTTTCCTTGCGCACTCATCTCGATTATGCCATGAAGTAGTTGAAAATATTCGGGGCTGGTTGTCGATGAGGACAACGGCGAAAATGTAATTAACTGAAGTAAGTGAAGTATAGGAGATTTGACATTGTCGTTCGCCGATCGTCGTTGGTGTGTAGGAGTGGTGGCGGTTTGAAACCTGTCCTGAGATACTTGTGAGAGTAACTTGTCCGTAAATAGAATTGGCCCAGTGAACGAGACAATTGTAGTCAAAAGGAATTTGAAACGATTATAAAATGTGTCACTCCGTTCTTCGCCGTTCACATTTAACGAGAGCGGAGCTGTCCTCCAAACGCGTTGCAAAGTCCCTAAGATACTGGCAATCGCCTGCATAGATTCTGATGAAGGGGTAATCTCCTGGATGGAAGCATCGCCTAGAGCTTTTGAAAGATTTGTCCACGCGAGTCCAATCCCTGACTTAGCCAAATCATCATCATTCCAGGCTGAGGTCTTGAATAGCGATGTGAATACAGGGAGAATAATTGATAACCGAGATCGAATCCATTTACAGTCCAGCCTTGGGAGATCCTCCGGTTCAAGGGCGGTTCCCTTGTTAATTTCGATCCTGTCTTCTTCCCAAACCCTTGGCCGCTGATTCCAGAGAAGAAAAGACAGTATCCGACACAAGCGCTCATTGTTAGTTGGGTCGGAATTCAGGTTTCCTGAGAGTGGAGTTCCAATGTATAATGTCCAGAAGAAGGCCAGACGACGATGAGAGGCCGAAGGCCGAAAGGCGTAATAGAGAAGTTTGTGGTAACTCGTAAACGCTTGGTTGAGTAGGATACCCTGCTTGTCAGATTTCTTCCTCTCAAGTTGCGAAAGGATTGGTCGGAATAATATTTTGGTGATATCTGTACTGGTGGACTCGTTCGGCGGCAAAGCATAAACAAACAAATCCCAAGCGATGAGAGCTTGGGATTTTGTCGTTAGGTCACTGCAGTTGAAGCACTTTTGAATAACTAGAAGCCAGTCCTTCAAATGGGTCCAATTGTCAATGGGCCATCGCCTGGTTCGAAGCAAGAGGATGATGATACTCCAAATTTGCGGCACTTGTGAACCACTTTCGGGATTTGGTATCATGCCCGATAATCGCCCACAAAGTTCCAAGACAAAAGGAGAGCCATTTTCTAGCGGAACATCAAGTACTTCCCGTAATGCATTGGAGACGGTGGCGTTTGGACCAAGTGCCATTGAAACCAACTTACCAAGTCTGATCGCCCTTGTTCGTACCTCTTTGAAATTATGAAGCAGGGCCGTTATAAGGTGATCCATCCACAAGCCAGCGTGGGACGCCATGGTTTGCTGCGATAGGAATAGAAGATTTACATAAATGGCTAGACGCTGTGCA